AAAAAAATTGATATTTTGCATATGAAAGCATCTTAATGTTTACTGATAATCTGCCAAATTTTTTTAACATATGCTTGCTAATTTAAAATTTATAGCATGAAAACTATAACGAGCACAAAATGGTTGAGGTCGGTCCCAGGAACCGAGCCCATGCTGAAAAGAGTTAAAACAACTTCAATTTAACTTTCCGCCAGTAATAACTAGATAGAAATCAAACTTCCTGTCTGACAGATTAGCCAGGGTTAAAATCAATAACTCAATATTTGACCTACTAACATTAGCAGCAACCATGCCTCAAGGGTCTGTACTTAGTCCCCTCCTGTACATCTTGTTTGTGAATAATGTACCATTCTTTAAATTTACATGTACACACACCTCTAAATATGCTGAAGATGTCGCCATCTCTAATAGCAGCTTCTAAAGTCCAAACTTCTCTCAATAGTATTATAGAATGGTGTAACACATGGGGAGTAGTGCTCAACACAACAAAAACTGGGGCAATAATGTTTAAAAGAAAGATATCTCGCAGAAGAAAGTCTCCCCCCCCCCCAAAGTCAAAATTAAAATATATGTCTCTGAACTAAAATTCTCAAGAACAGCAAAATTTCTGGAAATTATGTACAGTAACATGGTCTGACCACATTAAAACCGTAATGTTGAAAGTCTATAGAAGAATTTACTACCTATGAAAGATAGGAGGTATAGTTAAAACTACCAGTGCCCAAGGCTGTAAGGAAGGTCAGAACATGTATGATTAGATATTTTCATTCAGAGCATGTATAATATTAAGGCATGAGAGGCATCTTCGCTAAGTTTCAGGAGTGGCAGCTTGTGATGAAAATTGGTTGCAGTACGATTTATTCCTGTGGTATGTATAGTGGGAGCCGATATGCTATCCTGATTGCTAGATTCTGTGCTCTTTAAATGATACTATACTGAGTGTGAGACATGTTGATTGTAACCATGCTACCGTATTCTATTATGAGGCTTATGCATGCGTAGAATAATCGGTATCCCACAAGTGAAAGTGGGTTTCCTCTGGGTACTCCCATTTCCCCTGAAGCAATATTTTATTGATTTGGATCTATAGATCCCAGCCCTGAAAAGGATTGCACCGTAGTATGCTTAAAACAAAATTTAAATTTTTCTAATCTTAAGAATCAACAGCATAATCTTTACTAAACTTTCATTCCTTTGTCTTATTTCCAGATCTCCTCACAGCTTCTCCAGATATCTTGTGGCAATCTCTCTGGCTAGAATAAAACTAAAATTTCTGTCACGTTAATATTAAAATCTCAAAGTTAGGTGCCACTTAAACTTAAATAATACAGTGGGGTGAAGAGAAACAGAAGTTCCTGACTGACCCTGGTTGTATTTCATTCCCATCAGAGAATGAAATATATTTTAACCAAAATTCCCACCAAGTATGGATCAGATCAGACCCACTAGTTGGTCTGAGTAGAGTAGCCCAAGAGTTGACAATGGATGACGTTGACTAGTTTCCTTTCATCTTGTCTGTCATTTCAAAATTAGGAGACTGCAAATGCTGATAGCTCTTAAGTAGCTGTGCATAAAATCAGATAAGTGAAACTGACAGTTTAAGGTTATACACTTGAATGTAGTCACAGAGGACTCGAATGTTTACATTAAATGTAATGTTCCGAATGTAACTGTTATTTTTTAGGTATTCCCTCAATATGGATTCAGCAGGTCTGGTACAACTTTTCACTGTTTTTGTTTCTAAAACTGAGCTATTTGCATGTGACATGAAGGCTATAGTCTAATTTTCAAAATAACATCTTCATACCAATCTAAAAATTTCTTTAGAGTTAAGATCTGGATGAAAACCAAAGATATTGATATTGTTTCTTTTAAATCAAGCATGAATTATACCTGCATTGTGGCAACAAGCATTGTTCTACATTAGCTTTTAGATCAATAATCTCTGCTGTGACTCCAAGTGTGTATTAATATTTGTTATTTGTGTTTAAATCAAGCATGAATTATACATGTGTTGTGGCAACAACATTGTTCTACATTAGCTTGCAGATCAATAATCTCTGCTGTGACTCCAAGTGTA